TCTTGCTCAGGCTGGTTTCGAACTCCTGAACTCGAGCAATCCGCCCGCCTCGGCCTCCCAGAGAGCTAGGATTACAGGCATGAGCCACTGCGCCCGGCCCCACTTTCTTGATAAAGTCCTTTGACACACAAAAAAACTTTGAAGTTCACATTATCTATTATTTCTTTTGTTGCTTGGACTTTTGGTGTCATACCTGAGAAACCCTTGCCTGATTGCAAGGTTGTAACAATTTATTTATGCGTAAGTTTTCTGCTAAGAGTTTTGTAGCTTTAGCTATTACGTTGAGGTCTTAGATCCACTTTGAGTTAATTTTGTACATGGTGTAAATGGCGTGAGATCTAGGTCTGTCTTCATTCTTTCTCACCTGTGGACATCCAGTATCTAGTTGTACAAGCACCATTTGTTGAAAAGACTCTTCTCTCTTCATTGAATTGCCTTGGCCCTTTTTTAATTGCCCATAAACATGTGAGTTTGTATCTGTGCTCTCAGTTCTGTTCCACTGATCCGCATGTCTGTCTTTGTGCCAGTTGGACCTTGCCTTTTGTAGCCCATGGTTCCTGGATGAGCAAGTACCCTCAGGGCCTGGGTTTCGGGGATCCCCCTTCCCTCTGTGGGTTCAGGATTTATCCAGCAGTTGGCCTGGCAGTTCTCCATCAGCTAGTCAGCTCTGCAGTGCATTTAAGATGACGTTTTATTTATTTATTTTACCCAGCATTGTTTTCATGGTTTTCAGGAGGAGATAGTTCTAAATACCTAGCCCACCAATATGAAAAATGGAATTCAAAATTATATATCTCTCACTATGGAATTTGGGGCAGTATGTCATGGAAAAGATATTTTTAGGAGTAGGGGAATCATTCCTGGCATCTTAGGAAAAGACTATGATATTCACTGTTGCTGTTAAAGCCATGCTTGTAATTAAAGCAGCTTTCATTAACTGAGTACTTTATTCCATCCCAAGCTTCCTGCTGGGGGCGTTACATACACTCTTTAATCTCCTTAACACACAAACCTCTAAGAATCCAGTATTAGCATCATTCCTGTTTTACAGATGGGGAAGCCGAGCGGTTCAGGGCTTGCCTAAGGACAGACACAGATGATTGGCCGAGTTTGACTCCAGAGCCAGGCTCTGAACCCCAGCAGGCTCCCTTCTCCTTTGGGAACCCTCAGAGAGATTAGCGGTATTCCATGTCCCAGTTTAGAATTGTTGCTTTGTAAAAACATGGAAGGCTTAAAGGACCCGGCTTTTCTGTTCTCCTTTTCCCGTCCCCCTTGCGGTGGGAATGTGAACTTCCTTGCAGGCAGGCACTGGGGCGTCCTTGCCGGTTGTTCTCACGTTTCTGTGAGCGCAGGAATCCACGGGGAAGCGTGTGGAACAGTCCTGATTCCTGAACTCCTACTACAGGGAGTCTAATGCACCAGACAGGGAGGGACACGTGCTCAGGAACCTGCAAGTCTAATGTGCTGCCCACTGTCATTCTCTCGCACTTGGCCTTGGACCACACTTTGAGAAAAGCTCGTCCACAGGTTACGTTTTAAATAATTGGATGTTGTGCACGTGTTCTCTCCTTTTTCCTATTGCTGAAGGGCAGTGTTACGTTTCTCTGGTGTCTGGGGACTGGCCCTTTCCCTTTTAGTTCCTTAAAGTTGAGACTTCAGTTATTAATACTTTTATTTTTATTTATTTATTTTTTTGGGGACAGAGTCTCACTTTGTTGCCCAGGCTAGAGTGAGTGCTGTGGCGTCAGCCTAGCTCACAGCAACCTCAAACTCCTGGGCTCAAGCGATCCTGCTGCCTCAGCCTCCCGAGTAGCTGGGACTACAGGCATGCGCCACCATGCCTGGCTAACTTTTTCTATATATATTAGTTAGCCAATTAATTTCTTTCTATTTATAGTAGAGACGGGGTCTTGCTCTTGCTCAGGCTGGTTTCGAACTCCTGACCTTGAGCAATCCGCCCGTCTCAGCCTCCCAAAGTGCTAGGATTTATTAATACTTTTAAATGAGTTATATTTAGTGCTCTGTAAGCACTGCTATCAGGTAGAAATGAGAATGTTTGAGCCAAAACAACTTTGATATTACTAAAGTGCAATATCCAGTAATTTGTTTTGCCTGACTATAACTTAGTGGTAGGAAGCCTGAAGGGAATAATAAAGTATCTCGTTATTTTAGAGAAGAAAATTCTCAACCTCTCTTTTCCTACATCCTCCCTCACCTGCTTTTTCTCAGATTGTAAGGTGGTCAGACTGTTGCCTGCCATTAGCGTGCAGACCTGGGGAGCCTTACCGATTAATTGCTGAAGCAAGCGTGGACGATTTCAGCAGGCTGGGCGTGGCGTTCATGGAAGACAGACTCCAGATGGATAATGGGCTCATACCCCAAAAGATTGTTTGTAAGTGACTTTAGAAAATGTTTTTATCATAGCGGGATGTCGTAGGTTATTCGCTTAAGGACCACTGAGCACTCGTATTGGTATGACTTACAGGCAATGCTTAGTTTCAGCTTAATTCAACAGGTTTGATTTAACCATAATAGTATAACATTCATACATGTGTCAGGATATTTTTTGGAGGGGGCACATCTTTAGTGCTTATTAAATTTCTTAAACAAGTATTTTCCATAATTGCATTGTCCATGAGGAGGCATTCAAATTCAGAACCCATATAATATTTTTTTGGGGGGAGGGGACAGAGTCTCACTTTGTTGCCCGGGTTAGAGTGCCATGGTGTCAGCCTAGCTCACAGCAACCTCAAACTCCTGGGCTCAAGCGATTCTCCTGTCTCAGCCTCCCGAGTAGCTGGGACTACAGGCATGTGCCATGCATGGCTGATTTTTTAAAATATATTTTTAGCTGTCCAATTAATTTCTTTCTATTTTTAGTAGAGACGGGGGTCTCATTCTTGCTCAGGCTGGTCTCGAACTCCTGAGCTCAAAGGATTCATCTGCCTTAGCCTCCCAGAGTGCTAGGGTTAGGGTTAGGGTTAGAGCCACCGCGCCGACCCCATATAATATTTTTTATTTCACACAGTTTAATACACTATAACTAGCTTCTGGACTATAGTTCTGACTGAATGGGAAACACAACCAAGTGTTACTATGAAGTTATAAATCTAACAGCTTTTTACTTAGAATATATGTGTCAAAATTCTTTGGAACAAATCTTTTTTCAGGCAGCATACAAACTGTTCTTCCTTAATTAAACTTAAAAACAGACTTTTTATGTCTGTGAAAGTTTTTTTTGTATTGTGGGCAAATAAGAATTGAAGTTAGCTTGGGAAATTTATGCAGTCGTTTAATTTTCTGATTTGCTACCTGCATGCGCCTCATACTATGTCAGACATATAGCAGGTGCTCAATAAATGTTTTTTAAATCAGCGATTGTGAACTTATATTCCAGTCCTATGACAAGATACTGGAAAGACCCTTCTCACTGATCCTACGGAGCGTCCTGAGAGCAGCTTTTCGCTGGCGTGTGTTTAGATAGACTCTAGAGCACGCGTCCTCACACTACGCCCCGCGGGCCACATGTGGGTGTTTTTGCCCGTTTGTTTTTTTACTTCAAAATAAGATATGTACAGTGTGCATAGGAATTTGTTCATAGTTTTTTTTAAACTATAGTCCGGCCCTCCAATGGTCTGAGGGACAGTGAACTGGCCCCCTGTTTAAAAAGTTTGAGGACCCCTGGGCTAGAGAGTGTGTCCTTTTCTTTTCTCAGTTTCATGAGCATATAGAAGAATAAAACTCAAGAAATTGAATCTGTAAATAAGTGCAAAATCACCTTCCTGAATCCTACTTTCTTCACCAGTCAGTTAGAGGGTCTCCGGCACGTATAAGAAAGATGGTTGTGGGAACTGAGGATTTCACTGCGGGTCCTCCCAGCAGGAAGGAGCAATTAGTGGTTCCAAGGAATGCCACGGAGTTGAGGTGGGGCTGCAGCGGGGAGCCGTGCAGGGGCCTGTCCTGGAGTGGATGTCATAGAATGCAGAGGGGGTGATGGGATTCTTGAGCTGAACTACATGACAAACAAGAAGTGTTGGCTAATTATCTTCCTCGTTTGTGCTTTAGCGGTGCACTTGCAGGCCTTGACTCTGAAGGATCTTAAGGATCAGGCCTCAAACAAGCAAGCTCAAATGCTGCAGCCGAACCCTGAACCTTCTCCTGAGATTGAGCCCAAGCAGGACGTCATGGAGCACGTTGGCAGAGATGGCCCGAAGGTTCTTGGTGAAGAGCCCAAGCAGAGGAGAGGCAGTGCCTCTGGGAGTGAGCCTGCTGGGGACAGTGACAGGGGAGGGGGCTCTGTCGAGCATTATCACCTCCATCTGTCTAGTTGCCATGAGTGTTTGGAACTAGAGAATAGCACCATTGAGTCGGTCAGGTTTGCATCTGCAGAGAACATTCCAGATCTTCCCTACGATTACAGCAGCAGTTTGGAGAGCATTGCTGATGAGACCTGCCCTGACGGGGAAGGGAGGAGAGTCAACGTCACAGGAAAGGCACCCAACATCCTAGTCTATGTGGGCTCTGACTCCCAGGAAGCCCTTGGCCGGTTCCAGCAGGTGCGATCTGTCCTGGCCGACTGTGTGGACACCGACAGTTACATTCTCTACCACCTGCTGGAGGAAAGTGCGCTTGGAGACCCGTGGCCAGACAACTGTCTGTTGCTGGTCATTGCCACCAGCGAGTCCATTCCTGAAGATCTGTACCAGAAGTTCATGGCCTACCTGTCTCAGGGAGGGAAGGTGTTGGGCCTGTCTTCCTCTTTCACATTTGGTGGCTTTCAGATGACAAGCAAGGGTGTACTGCAGAAGACAGTCCAGAACTTGGTTTTCTCCAAGTCTGATGGGAGTGAGGTGAAGCTTAATATCCTAAGCAGTGGCTACGTTTACAGGGAGGGCCCCGGAGAGCGGCTCAGCCTGGGTAAGCTCCAAGGCCACCTAGAGAATGAGGACCAGGACAGGATGATCATCCAAGTGCCTTTTGGGACATGTGGAGGAGAAGCTGTTCTTTGCCAGGTACATTGCTTTGATGATCTTCGGGTATCTTGGAGAAGGGAATATGCTCTTTAAGGCTGTACGCCTTAGGTTTCAAGAGTGTGTGTGCTGCCAGTTACTGTTGGCTGGGAGCTTTTGCTGATGGTGAGCAGAAGGTTTCATTTAGTTCAGGATTTTCATGAATACCGTGATTAACTGAAAGACTTGTGAAGGAGGAATGGCCCAGGTGTTATGGTCAATTGAGCTTGCTGGTTAACCAAGGATCTTGTTTTGATCTTTGCTGGTAATGACCTTTCTAAAATACACTAGTCTACTTTCTTGCCTCAAAGTACACTGTGATTAATATAATCGAGCCTTTATTTAACATAAAAAATTGAAAGCTTTTGGGTGGTCATTCCAAATGTCAGTGATCATCATATTAAAATATTACAGTTGATTGTGGAAGTAGTTTGTGTTAAAAAGATCTCCAAATCCCCAATTCTTTTCTTATGATTCATTCCTCTTAACATCTAAGGGCTGAGAAAAAGCTCAAATAAGAGAATATCGAAGTTATTTAGATTTATGGCAAATTATTAATGATACACAAGTAAGGACAAATGGAAAGAGATTCAAAGGAAAGTACCAGTTTCCTTCCCATGCTTTGGGAGGTCCTTTGGGACTTCTGCTGTTTTTTATTCCATCCTCTTTTTTTCTTTTGCTTTTTGTTTGTTGGCGAACAGTAGCAGGATAGACTATTTCAGAATTCCTCATCATTTACTACGAATCTTTTAATGCTTTAGGGCATAAGTTTTTGTAAGAGTTAAATGAACACTCACGTGTCCTGAAGGATTTGATAATGTAATGAGAAAACTAAGAAGATGTCAATATTTTATTTTGCCCAGAAGCTCATCCCAAGATGAGCGTAACAGATTTTGTTTTACTATAGGGATCTTTTTATTGAGCTAGGGAATTGTTAATTTTTTGTTTTGTTTTCATTTTATAATGCCTCCTCTCTTTCTAGCCCTCCTAGAAGCTAAGTCTCTTGGGTTTTCAGACCAAACATTCTTTAAGATTTGTTTTTCTTTTGCCTTTCTAAAGCCTACTCATTTGTTCTTAAGATGATAGATACTCAGCCAAAGATGCTTGGAATTAAGAAATCTGAACATCAGGACAGATGAACACGTACAACGCAAGCCGGTTTCCTGTAGGGAAGCAAACCACATCAGTTAGCTTTTGGAGGCCTAATAAATGTTCTCCTTATCTTGTTCTCTGCAAATATGGTAACTGTAGTAACTGCTCATTCTCAGAAAATCCACTTAAAAACCCGACTTCCTAGAGCCATATTTCAGTTTTGAAGAGCAAATCTTGCCACCCCTGTGCACAGACTTGTACTAGAAAATTGATTTGGCACTGTTGCGATCCATTGCTCTGAGTTAACACGGCAACTCTGCTTGCCGCACCATTTAAACTGACCCCCTTACTGTCATAAAATTTGATACTGCAGTGCATGGCCCTAGGGGGAAAAAAGGCAATATGATGCAGCTTCACAAATCAGGTTCAGAGGATTAGAATGTCATTTTTGATTTTAAATGACTTCCAGAGTTCTGTGTAACAGGGTCACTGTTTTCTCCCCATGCCTGTGTCTCTCCGATAACTCTCCGAGATCAAAAAATAAATATTATCACAGGCTGGTTAGTTTCCTCTTTCCCTGTTCAATTTCATAGTCGTCATCTTTGTAATAAATCTAGTAGTGATGTAACCCAATAAGAGGAGGCGAAGTACTTCAAGGGCAAAACACAGCTGCACGCTAGGCGGTGGTATTACCCCAGCCGAGTAAGCTGCGGCTTTGATGCCTTTGCCATTCATAATAGTAAGGAAACAGAGAAAATGTTTGTGTGCTTGTAGTACTGATCAAGTTTGCAGGGAAAATTTAATGCTGTGGATTCATGCTGATAGTTGACGATCAGCTGGACCAGGAGTTTGGCGTGAAGTTGTCCAAATAAAGTCTCTAAAATGGATTTTAAAAGATTTTGTTTTCTTATTTAGCTTAGCACGTGGCAGAAGTGGGTCTGCTTTTGTAGCAGTTTCTCGACCCTGGCACTATCGACGTTTTGGGCCAGATCATTCCTTGTGATGAGGGGCAGTCCTGTGCATCTTAGGGCGTTGGCTGCCTCTCTGGTCTCTCTGCCCATTAGATGCCAGTAGCACCCCTTTCTCCCATCTGTGGCTGGAGGCCTTTTTTAGCTTTGGCTTTTGGTCTTGTTATAAAGCCTTATTTTTAGAAGAAGCCATGTTGCAGAAATAGGCCCGTCACTATGGTAACAACACCCTAACCAAAGGGTGAGACTCTCCCACAGAGAACCAGGAGTGCAAATCTACCATGCACACTCTGGCGTGTGCCGTCTTCTCCGTATTAACTGAGGGTGTAGAACCGGAGGGGGCCTCTTTTCCAGCGAACATTGCAGAAGCACCCGAATCCTGAGGCAGTAAGCAGAGGCAGGCCTCACGGTCTCAACAGCAGTCTTTTTCCCTGTCTGCTGAACTCGGAGGCCGTTTGTAGCATGACCCTTAGTCTCCCTCCCCCGATCTCTCTCATGGGAAATGAGCGCAGCGCATTTGCCGCTCTGCCTGGTGGGTATCATCCTGTGTGTTCACCCCCTCCGGCCAGTCCGTGTGCGTCTGACCACGCGCCTCCCCTTCTCCCCCGGGCTTGCGTGGGAACGGAAGCTGGCTCAGTTTATTCCTGCCACCTGTAAAGGTTAAATCTCCCGGATAGCCACGTGCTCACGTGAATTAAACGGGGCCCTGCTGTGCTGCTGCTCCACGCCAGCGCCGGCTTTGGCCACGGCAGAGCAGAGGCACAGCTTTAGGGTAGAGACACACCGAGAAGGACACGGATCCCTCAGAGGGTTTCTCTTTTCTGCCTTGTCCCCTCTCCGGGGCAGTCTAGAGGACAGGCTTCTTTCTACCTGCTGCCTCCTGACCGGCGCACCCACTCGTGGGCGCAGCAGCCGCCTGCGGCCGACCAGCTGCACTTTGGGGACCGTGTTGACCAGGGTTTTGCAGGCCTCAACTTTTACCATTAGGACTATCCTGGGAAATATACTTGGACAGCATATTTGGCTTGGTTAAGGCTTGGGTGGGAATTGAGAGATTTTCAAGTACCTTGAGGGCTGGCACTGTGCTTTTTATTTTCCTCATGCTCTCAGAACATCGGGCCGGATGCTTTGCATACAATCCCTAAAACCAAAGCAAAGTAAAGCAGATGAGCTCAGTTTGCTCTTCTGAGTACTCAGTGTTCTGGCAGCCTCCAGGCTCTAATGCCCAATTAAAATCTGATCTCAGGGGAGCTAGAGGTTCCAGTAAGTTCCTTCATACCAAGACACAGACTGTTGACAGGTGGAGATATTTTAATTTTAACTAGAGAAGAAAGACCGAAGTGAATACATGAAGTTTCAAATCTTAGAGTTCAACAGGAAGAGGTGGAGGAGGAAGAGGAGGAGGAAGAGGAGAAGGGAGGCAGGGAGGGAAGGCCTTTCTGTGTCTCTGAAACCCCCATCTAGCCACAGCGAGGTCTCACTTCATGTCATCGACAGGTTCTTGGAAACTGTGACCTTAATGGAAACGACGTACAGCAGAACAATTTTACCATGCACTAATTGATGTAAACAAGAGCGAAGTTCCCAGGGCATGTATCTGGTCACAGAAACATCACCAAACTTCTAAGTAAAGACCAAAAGACCTCTAACATTAAACATTAACATCGATATAGATGTGCACTATGTGTACATTTAAGAAAGATTAATAAAAACAAGTAAGGTAATGACTGACTGACTCCAGTTCAGGATCTCAGGTGGCCAGAGCCCATCCAGGCGGGCACCAGTCCTGGCCAGGATGCTGTCCTGTTGAGGGACACACACCCACACTCCAACGGGGACCATGTAGACACGCCAGATAACCTAATGTGCACACTTTTGGGATGTGGGAGTACCCGGAGAAAACCCACACAGACAGTGGCCCTGGCCAGGAATTGATTTTTCTTTTTCTCATCAACTTTATAACAAAACAATAGTGAACTCAAGCACCTGCTGTGTTTTAATTCCTACAAACACTCTTAACATGATGAATGTGGCTACTCTCCCCACAAGTGTTGTTTTCCATTATGACAGGTAGGACGGGAGCTTCCAGCCTGGCCCTGTGCCTCCCTGGGTTTGGGAGCAGCTGGGTCCTCAGCACAACTGGATTTCTAGATACTTGGTCCTGTATCCTAGTTAAGTAACTTGGCCAAGGTCACAGGACTGGTCAGTGACACAGATCACCTAGAAGGAGTTCGCTAAGTATCTGGGGCTATTTCCATCATGACCCCTTACTCAGCCCGGCAGCCAAAAATTTCAGTAGGCTCTTTGGAACCTTTTCTTGCTCACCGTGACTTTCCAGGTATTCGGGCTCAGAGTTTATATGCTTCTTAGTGTCTGCACGTGCCTCTCATTTACAAAGTGGTATCTTTCGCCTCAGGTGCACTTAGAACTACCTCCGAGCTCTGCCGTCGTGCAAACTCAAGAAGATTTTAACTTGCTTAAGTCGAGCAATATTAGAAGATACGAAGTCCTTAGAGAGATTCTCACAACCCTTGGCCTAAGCTGTGATATGAAACAAGTTCCTGCCTTAACACCCCTTTACTTGCTGGCGGCCACGGAGGTGAGTTTGCGGGCCCAGCTGGGAAGAGAGCGCCTCTGCGTGTCCCCTCTCTAAGACCTCGACCCTTTCCCTTCATTGTTCTGTTTCCGTTGGCTTTGATTTTGATTTCTGCTTTGATCTTCTATTTCTATTTTGACTTCGGGTTTGGAAACCATCCTAAAGACGTGCAAGTATCACTCATTTCGGGGGAGTTTGCGCAAGGCAGGGAGAGAAGACCCATTTGAGTCTGCGGGTTGTGGCTCTTGCCACTCTGGGCGGAGGAGGATCCCCTGTTTGAGTTGTCAAGAGTATATTTAGAAGTTGTAATTTTTCCATTGGGGATTAAACACATTTGATTTGGGTCATTTTTCAGCAGATCTTTGGATGGGAAAATCACAACTTCTGTTTGATTTGTGCTGATGTCTGCCATCTTGTGGCAAAAGGGGTGTGGGTTTCAGTTCCTATCTGAGCTGCGACTAAAAGGAAAATGCCACAGAGCGGGGCATGTGCATTCGGGGATTCTCTTCGCCTTGTGTCTGGGTTTGCTGCCCGTGGTGGATGCCTAGTTTTGGGCAGGTGGCCAGAGTCTCCATGCGTGTGTTCTTGCTGACCCCTTTACTTTGCCAAGCTGTCAGTTTCGTATTCATTGTGACAGATTATTTTGTGGGTCTGTTTCTGTTGTCTGCTCTGGACAGGCAAACTTGTGAGTTTAATGATGTAACCATGCAGTTTCAGCGAATACCTGGTAGTCCAGGTGACTTTCAACACCAAACTTCCCTGCTTTACCTTGGAAAGAACAAAGTATACTCCTTACCCCAACATTTTTAAAAGAGGAGGCATTCTGTTTGGGTTATACTCTGTCCCGTGGCAAACTTAGTTTTCAGAGGAGCTGTCTGGGTGCGAAGTGCTCATTGGAGAAGACAGATGTAAAATCTGAGAGCATTTTTACAATTAGGATACCTTACAGGATTGTTTGAGGACTAGATGAAATAATATATGTGAAAGTTCTGTATAAATTATAACACTTAAGTGATAGTGCAATTATTATTATTATTTGGTTGTTGGGAGGTTGAATGAGTAAGATGTGTATAAAGTGCCTAACAAATGCCTGGTACCTTGTCTAAAAAGATGACAGGTAATGTTTTTCATTTTAAAAATTAATGTATTAATGGATTATTTATTTATTTATTTATTTTTGAGACAGAGTCTCGCTTTGCTGCCCAGGCTAGAGTGAGTGCCGTGGCGTCAGCCTAGCTCACAGCAACCTCAATCTCCGGGCTCAAGCAATCCTGCTGCCTCAGCTTCCCGAGTAGCTGGGACTACAGGCATGCACCACCACGCCCAGCTATGTTTTTCTATATATATTAGTTGGCCAATTAATTTCTTTCTATTTTTAGTAGAGACGGGGTCTCGCTCTTGCTCAGGCTGGTTTTGAACTCCTGACCTTGAGCAATCCGCCCGCCTCAGCCTCCCAAGAGCTAGGATTACAGGCGTGAGCCACAGCGCCCGGCCGTGACCTTTTTTTTTTTTGCACTTTCATCTTAAGAACTCAAAGCTTCACATTACTTATCTCTGTTTTTATGTGTTCAGTTAATAGGAAGAAAAGCATCACCTCTGTCTTGTGACTTATGAAAAGATACCAAAATAAAGCTGGTCCTCAGAGCTTCAAGCCTTATGGACAACCTGTCTTGGAGGAACAGGGCAGGGCCGTGTGGGTAAGGGTGACTAGTCTCTAGGGGACTGGGACTGTCACTCTCCTAGACCTTCTCTGTCCTTGTTTCCTGAGCATGGCGGGCTGAGGCTGGACGCGGGAGCAAGCGTGTGCCTGCTCCAGGGCTCCCAGCCCGGGAGGTCAGGGAGCGGGAGAGCCTGCACGTGCCCTTGGCAGTGCTCCCTGCCAGTGCTTTCCCGAGTTTGACCACAGTGGTCTTGGGACTTGGACCTCTGGACTCTCGGACAGCAGAGAATAGGAAAGAGTGGTTGTTCTCCTGTGAGCAGAAGTTTGGAACTCTAGGCTTTTCTGGGATATCCTTTAGGATGGGCATACTCTGAAATACCTAAGTAGAGCATTTGCATATGTGTGTGCTTATATTAAAACACAAAACAGATGCTTCACATCTTTGTCCTTCCAGGTCTTTGAACTGCCTGGGGCAGTGGAGGGCGATACATTTTCACCTGTTAATTGATCCATTGGGGGAGTATTGATTCTTTCATTCACAGACCGTGGGAATGAAATGCTTGGAGATGATTAAAACAAGGATTTGCCCTGTACACTCCCCACCAAGCTCCTTATCATAATACACCATTCTTTGGAAAATAATAATTTTCAGAAATGTTCATTTCCTATTTTGGGTCCTCCATTTGGTCTTGTTGATTTTCTTGGATTTCTATGCTGTGGACTACTTTTTTTTCCCCCTCTTAGTTGTTCATTTCAGACTAAATTGTTTTACTTTGGGAGCCCAAGGAACTGAATGCGTGTGGGTATGATCATTGTACATATCCTCATTTCTTAATGTGTACTAACTCTGCTTAGAAGACCTTGTATCTGCTGCAGAAGGAAATGTCATTATTCAGGGTTTTATGTTATGTTTTCCTGGAATCCAAGTTCTCTAAAGGATTATCGCGCACATGACTTCGAAGATAGATTCTTACCAACTGGGATGGTCTTTCTGGAGGCAGCTGGCTGATTTCTCTTGATCTTGTTCTGATGGCTCAGTATTTATAGATATGGACCGAAGAGGTGGGGAATAGAATTGGGTTTGTACTTTCCACTTGGTTTTCTTTCCTGTAGCCCTACCTAATAGACATCATTGATCCCCACAGAATTAAGTTGTGTGGAGAGGATCTTGGCCCCCAGCCATCTGTTAGACACTGCCTGTCCGTTCACTGTCACCTGCCTCGTGGGTTAGGTGCCTGGGCCTGCTTTCTGCTCCGTGTCGGATACTCTGTTGCTGGGAATCGACGACCTCTCACCACAAGGTGTCGCTGCCGAGCTAGGCTGCCTGGCACACAGAACCCGAGAACTATAAAGTAGTTCTTCAGAGATTTCATTTTTTCTCTCTCTATCCGTTTCACTTAGTACAATTTTGTAGTTTTCCATTATACTGGTAGCACTTTTTTTTTTTTTTGGTCTGTAGAAATTATTTCAATCTCCCAGTTAATAATACTCGTCTTTCATTCAACATTTACTGTGTCCTAGGTACTGTTATAGCATGGGATATGAAAGAGCAAAATAAATACACCAGTTATCTAAATACTTTTACTGCATGCCAGCTGTGCTTACACAGTTCTGTGCCTTGACACTTGCTCTTTATGGTGAACAGCACGGAAGATTTATGAAGCACCTATATGCTTCTATGTTACTGTGATATGAATGGAAAAGAATAGCACCATGATCCAAGTCAAAAGCAAAACAAAAAACACACACAAAAAAACAGCACTCACCTGAGGTCTAGTTGACCCCTGGCATTTGCTAGGGTTGTGTTCTGGAACCTTTGTTTATACCGAGACACCATGATAGCATGTGATTTTCACTATAAATTCAGTCTTGCATGACTTCATGATTGTCACTGTGTGTGACAAGAAGAAGCAGGGCTCTGCTGAGGGGCAGGCTCTGGGCGGCTTCCTTCTGACCAAGGTTCTACACATTTAATCTATGCTCCCAGCGGCAGGATTGAAATTCAGGCCCTCAGCAAAATTATGATAACTTAAACCATAAAACACACGAACGCATGGATACCACATGCCTACATCTGTGGAAACAAGACTGGAAGGAAATCTAGCGTATATAGGACATGTTTCTGGTAGGTGATTTTCATAATCTTTTAAAACTGTATTTCCCACATTTTCTGTAATGGACATATATTAATTTAATAATGAGCCAAACCACTTATTCAGAAATAAAAAAACAAATTTAAAAAAGTCATTAGACGTTGACAACATCTTATAAGTGTTTAAATTTGAGTGTTAAAAGGCAGGGAATCTCGTATAGGTATTGATATTTTGGTTAATAATTGATACCTATATTAATTATTTAAAAAAAGTTTTGCTTTGATAGTAAACCACTTGACTGTAGTAAGTGGCTTGTTGCAGCTGTGACTTAGGTTTAACTGTGAGCCCTCCTTAGCGTGTGGGTGCTGGGAGGCCGCAGCTCTACTTTTGCCCTGGCGGGTGGAAGGTACTGCTGGTGTTAATTCATGATTCGGTTGCCCCATCCCTGCTTGGATGCTCCAGTTTCTTGGCAGAACCCTCTGAACTGTTTCTCAAAGACCACACGCATGTGACCTCACACGCATGTGACCTCTACATGCTTCCTTTCCTCATGTGCTGGTGAGTGAGAGGTGGATGGGCCATCTGGTGACTGCAGGGAGTGGTGGGGCAAGATTACCGGGGGCCACCAGGTCAATCTGCCGCAGTTGGTGGGTGGCAAGAAGTTAGCGACAACACACCTTTACTTAGGGGGGCCGGGGGTGGGGAGAAATGAGCTTGTGTGTGACAGACACTGATTTTATAGAAAAAACACAATTCTTTCCCTTCCAGAACACTAGAAAAAAACACAATTCTTTCGTATTTTATAGAAGCATTTTAATAGATTTTATTTTGTATAAAAGTTAATTTTATAGAAAGAACACAATTCTTTCCCAATTAGGAAACTAGCTGTCTTGTTTCTGTTTCCCTGGGTTCCGTTTCCATTTTTATCTCTGCCGGGGAAGTGGCAGACAGGAAGAGGGTGTGCTGTGAGGCCTCCAGGGGTTCTAGCTGAGATGGGCATCTGTTGGATAGGGACCCGCTGAGACCCCGAACCTGTGCATGGGGACAGAGCCAGCTCTCCCTCCGCTGCAGAGTCCCCTGCCCGACAGGTCCCTTTTGGTCCCCCCAGTGAGGCCAGAGGGAGGAGAAAAAGGTGGGACATGCCCCCCCCCACCCCCAAGCCAGCACCATTGCTCTGGGCCGGCCGCTGGGGCCATTTTTTCAGTGTTCCCTTAGCCTGAGCTGTCCCTCTCGGGATCCGGGGAAACACG